TTGAAAATCTGAAATCGGTGTTTTGAAAAAATCTTATATAGCCTTGTGAATCTGAGAAGATTGTATTGTTGACGTATCCATCTAAAGCACGAAAATTGCATGGCAGGACATCTTCAGGTGCAAGTGACAGTGAAAGTTCCTTTGCCTTTGGATCTACTTTGGATGTTTCTTTGTGCTGTTAATGATATTGACACGCGGTTATAAATGTAAATGTTAATTCTGTTAGATTCTGGTTATAAAAGCGTAAGCGTGATATCGTGTTATAGGAAATCAAATTTTATAAATTTTCATAGAACTCCAAAACACCGGAAACCGTGCTTCGCCAATAAACCCTTAAAATAGGCCCAGATCCATAAAAATAGTTCTTGTTGCGAATGGATAGTTGCCATAATGGGAGATAACAACCGATTCCATGAAAATGCGAATGTATTGATTACCTGTAAAAATATTGTCTTTCGTGGTTAACATGTCCAGTTTTAGAGCGGGAGCCCAGGTGGGTCAACCTACCTGAAAAGTGTACAAATTTTCTCCTATATGGTATCAATGAATGTATATCTGGTATCATCAGATTGTAAGTCTGCCGGGTTTTTGATGATGGGTGTGGTATTCCACGCCTAAAATGACATGCCCCCCCCCCCCGCCTTCCGCAACTAGGCTCGATTAGCTCAAATGTGTTCCACATCTTCAGGTATTACAAAAACACTCTGACAGACATTTCTGGTGGTGGGGTACCTCTGACAGGGCTATGTACTTGCCAGACATTTGTAGTGTCCGCTAATCCAGCCTAGTAGGGGGCGTGACATTTTGGGGCGTGTCTGTTAGGGGTAACACACCGCACAAACTGTCTGGCAGTGGTCATTCACGATTCCTATGGAGGTACTGAACAACTCCAAAGCTGTTTTAGTTGGTACAGATTTCAGCTAATCTAGCCTAGCTGTGGTCTGGAAATTAGAAAACTCTTGTCAGGGATGCCCCGCCACAACAAATGTCTGGCAATTACATTGCTCTGTCAGGTGTACCCCACCACTACAAATGTCTGTCAGGGTGTTTTTGTAATACCTGAAGGTTGAACCCCTGGGCTCTGGTCTACTTGCAATCGTGTGCGACACTTTCCACTAGATTTCTGATCCTCCATCGTGCTAAGCGAAAGGGGTGGTGTTTCTGGGTGTAATAACCGTGATTTTCTTTCATTCGATCAAAGTCCAGTCCCGTGTTGCTAAACATATTCTCTGACGGATATCAGTCAATAAGGGGCGTTACGCGACCCTTCTGGATACAAGCCCTGCTGCTCCCAGGCGGTTTCGCGGCGGACACGTGACAAATGGGTGAGGGAATTCTGCGAGAACCGCTAGGCGAATTAGCGTTTCGTATTTGCTTAAATTACGTAACTTTAGGTCATCTGGGATGGTATCGGCCTTCCACAGTATTACTTTGCCACTTAGCCAATGTTTCCAAATAAGATGGGTTATGACTGTGAGCTGGAAACCCAGTTGGCAACCAATAGTTTTGAAGGACGTTCCGGTCCAATGCATAAAGATTGTCGGCATATATTTGCGCATACGACAGTCTACTTCGCACCAAGTTCTCAGACAATGAGTCCATATTGCAAGAAACCAATTTTAAAGAACTTTGAAATAAGTTGCATGTACCATATGTTTGATGTTGTAGCATTGCAGTCACTCATGAATGATCAATTATTTGTATTGAAGTTCGTTATATAATTTAAAATCATTATTAATCTGGAACTCGAAAGTAATTGAGAGATAATAATATCTATATACTATAAGGAGGTTTAAATGATTTCGGAATTAGTTGTAATATAACAATATGAATTATGAATTCCATCATCCTCACAAACTGTGACAACCGAGTAAAAAGGCAAATTAAGTGCAGGACGCATGCGCCAAATAATTATAAATCTGTTTCAACTAATCGGATACAACTCACCAAATATTCCTACGCTGTCACCCACGAAACAAGGGCCAAAGCTATTTTTAGTCTTTTTCTCCCTTTTCATTTTCCCCCCTTTTGCATGGCGATTTTTGTTGATTTTTTGGTGTAGAATCGAAGAAAAGGGTTTGAAAATACATTTTCTGTCAGGTTTTAGTGAATATTCATGATTTTTAGGCGGAAGGATACAAGAGTTGAGAGGTTGGTTAGGTTGAAATGTAGGGCCGGAAATTGCATGTTTACTTGTTTTTACTTCCAGGTTGTATATCTCAAGTTTTTCACGAAGAACCTCATACGTGCTTTTGGGCAAGAGGTTGCCACATGTTGCTCCATCTATTGTAGAAATCGTTCTACCCAACGCAAATTTGGGAAAAAGTTAGAGTCAGTCTAAGAGACGAGAATTAACATTAAAGTCAAAGAGAAAATCATTTGTGATCTGTGGCCTGCCTGTGTATGACAAGGCTGTGACTGATATGCCTTTGTTTTGAAAATATGAAGATAAAATTCTCAGAAAATATATATAAAATATGTTGACTACAGAAAAACTAAAAAAAAGTTAATTTAAAAAAAAAATCAAAGTTTGGACAAAAATTGTTATTTTACTGCAAATTTCTCAATTTTCAGTTTTTATTTAATTTCTAACTTTAAAAAAAATATTTTAATGCCCAATTTTGGCTTATTCAGCCTCGGGAAGCACAGATAAAGTGAACAGTAATGTAATTTCACCAAATTTTGTCTAAAAATCAAGAATTTTCACAGAAAATCTCCAAATTTCCCCCATTTTGATGTGGAAATTAATCCTTTCATGACTACTCAAATGAGTCAAAATGTCAAACATACCCTTATTCTTATTGCTAATATAACTTAGATGGGATCTATAAGTTTGAAGATTGGTAACACTGAGTTAATAATGTACAGGAGATGGGTTTGTACAAAATGTTCAAAACAGGATTTGGCTCAATTTTGCCACTATTTTACCCAGAACAAGCATTTTTTGTTTTCTTTAAAACCTTAAATTCTTGCATTTCCTTCATTTAGAAAGCAATATTCCAGTCTTTCTAGACATTTTTCACCCCGCAATTCCGTTAAGAAAGGCTATAAATGCCCCATCCCACCCTTTTTTATTGATGTGTTTTGAGAGAATTAATTGCCCCCGTGTTGACATTTAAATGATTGTAATTGGAATTTGTGGTTGAATTACAGCTAGGAATGTTATTTTTCGTCAATAAATAGTTATTTTGTACATTTCACGAATTTTTAACCCTTTTGGTTTAAGGTCAAACTTAGAACCCTGAGACATTTCAAGCCAATGAGACCACACCCTGATATAAAACTGGTGTCTATGTGTAAATGTCAGCTTAATGTTCAATATTTTCTTATCAAAATCTAGGATTTGTGGTGATTGAGGCATTTATGTTACTTATAGAACAGTAAAATGTTAATTTTGCTCCTTTTCAGGCCTCCTTTATGTTGTCAACTCTGTCATAACTACTTTTTTGACTTCATTTTTTCAGGAAATTGATGTAAAGGTCCAGACATCTTGCTTCAGCACAAGAATTACAATAAAGACTTGTATAATGCCTCTGAGCTTTGAGATGTTGAAAACATTGAAATATTCCAAAATTTGTAAAAAGTGTGTATTCTGTGACTCTTTTGTTAGAGAGGGGTGGTCATAGACCAAATATTGTATTTTATCTTTCGTCAAGGCCTATTTTTAACCATAATTTATATTTTATGCACATATTTTAGTTTACATGTACATATGCTAGTCGGGGATGGTAAAACATAGCTGTTAGGCAGATTCCTTTGGGAATGTTAGTTCTGCAACCAAAGATTAGTGACATGTTTAGGGGGTGGGGATACATGTTTCAGTATAGATCTCTAATATCACAAACAATGCAACTGATGTGTGATTTATCTGTTTGCATATTGTCCAAGGTTTCTAAAAATATATTTATTGCCAGTCTCGCTATCTAAAAAGTGGAAAATTATTGGGGGGGGGGGGGGTAAAAGATGCTACATGTAAATTTTGTACATTTTTCCTGACATGGCAGTAAAAAATTATATTTTTGAAAAAAAAAATATCCAGATTATGAGTGTTTTCTGTGTAATTTGTATGTAACTTGTCTGATGTTTTCACAGAACTCCAATACTGCTTTTAATAAGAAAATGTTTTTAATTTTAGCACAAAAGGCCCATGGACCACCTGAGGTGCACCGCTATACATAAAGCAGCATGTATACTTCAAGGGCCATCATTTTTGCGGTTATTCTTTGATTTTGAGTTTCTTTCACCTGTGCCAGAACACATAGAAAGCATATAAAAAGGCATTTTGGTGATACCTGAATTTCACCCCTATATAGGACACAGCTCACCAAATATGCCTACGCCGTCACCCCGTCACCCACGAAACAAGGGCCAAAGCTATTTTTAGTCCTTCTCTCCCTTTTCATTTTTCACCCTTTTGCATGGCAATTTTTGTTGACTTTTTGGTGTAGAATCGAAGAAAAGGGTTTGAAAATACATTTTCTACCAGGTTTTGGTGACTATTCATAATTTTGAGGCGGAAGGATACAAGAGTTGAGAGGTTGGTTAGGTTGAAATGTAGGGCCGAAAATTGCATGTTTACTTGTCTTTACTTCCAGCTTGTATATCTTAAGTTTTTCACGAAGAACCTCATACGTGCTTTTTGGCAAGAGGTTGCCACATGTTGCCCCATCTGTGGTAAAAGCGTTCTACCCAACGAAAATTTGGGAAAAAGTTAGAGCCTGTTTAAGAGACAAGAATTAACATTAAAATAAATGGGGATTAGTGATCTGTGGCCTGTCTCACAACGTCTGAAACAGTTTGATGACGTCACGATTCTGCTGTCATTACTGATGGAACTCTTAACAGAACTTAAATTCCACGCCGCTCGATTGCAATTCCGTTAATACGGAAAATTCAGTACTTTCCCTTTTTTTATTAGTCTTTCGACAATATTCTATTTTTTTCCAACAAAACATAATTGTACAAGTAAACAATCATTCACACTTGAACTTATCCAGCTCGCCAAAAATCATGACTCCCAACAAATCATAAAATTTAATAAATATAATATGTGACTACAATCTTGTAATGTTGGAAATGTGTAACGATTAGCTCCCTTAGATTGTATGTTTATTTTTATACTTCAAGTCTTGATGATTTATTCAGAACAATACACTACACGGTTTAGAATATTCAAAGCTTATGGATATTTTTGTGGTTGCCATTTAAAAAAGTCGATGTTTTAATATGGAGGAATTAGAAATGAAATGAAATGGGTTTAACACCCTACTTTTTTGCCCCTACTGGGCAAAAGAGGGAAGAATTAAAAGAAATTTATGAATGCAGAAATATCAGTTACTGGCATAAACAGTGATGGAGGTCCCCTAGATTGTGAGGTCTTAGCCACCAAACTGCCATGCCTAAATGTAGGTAAATCAGGCACCGCCGTCAGTTTTGCAAATGTATAAAGCGTCATAGTTGTAGGGTTTCAAGGACTACAGGTCATAATGAAAGCGTACAAAGATCACACATAAGGAAATTTAATAAAAGCATCAAACCCGACAAAAGCAGCATAAATTCATATCTTCATATGTAACATTTTAACAAAAGGAAAGCTCTTTAGTATTTCTATTAATTAAAATTAGAGATTTCTCGACATTCGCTTTTACTTAGGGCTTGTGTCAAATTTATAATTATTTCAACTGTATAAAGAGACAAGCACGTGGAATTGACTTTTTTAACCGCTGTTTCATGGATTTCTAACCGACGACTTTAACCTGTGATCTCACTTTCATGAATTTTACAGTTATACACAGTGTCGCCAACATCAACGCTACTACAGTAAGAAGAAGAATAGCCAAGCTGACCATTACTTCCACCGACTGAAAACAGTTCTCTGCAGCAGCAACATCAGCGGCAGGTCTGGGTGCACCCGGTACAGCAACTGTGGCTTTGCCTATGGAAAAAAAGAACGTGTCATAAACGTAACGCCTTTACATCACACACACTTAGATTTTGTTTTGTGGTTGGGGGAGGGGGTGCAAATATTTGGGTGGTGATCACCATAGTGATCACTTTGACAAACTCCGACGGCGTAGACTATATAATATATATTTATCCTTTTCTGTACAGTCTTACTCACAAAAGGGAAAGGTAACCCGGGTTTCGGAAATAGCTGTACTTCTGTATAAACACCATTGCTACTGTACTAGTCATTCATATAATACCATGTCCAAAATCATAATTTCTTTAATAAGGTAGTGTGCCCCATGTTTCGAAAATTTTCCCTACTAAAATTTCTTGTTCCAGCTTTCTGTCATGTTTCGTAAAAAAGTAGTCTTGATTATCCCGGCTAGTCAATCAGACGGAAAATGGTCGGTAGACTGGTTAAGCGAGACTAATTTCAAAACGTTGGCACGTAACCTATATTTTGCTCAAAAGTGCCCGGATGTTATGGACGACATTCGGAACAATTTTTCAGTGTATTATTTATGGATGGTTAAATGGTCATAGCTTATTAAGTACAACATGGTCGTTTATTTAGTGACTATAAATGTGCCAAACAGATTTAAGGATTGGTATATACATGTATATAAATATTGTGGTGTAATTGTCGAGATATTTGGACATATTTATTTATAGTGGGGCACTCTTTATAAGGTCCCAAAGTTCAAATACTAATTAAAGGGCGCATGAAGCTATTTTATGGAATCTTGAAATAGACAAAGTGGTTCTAAAAGCACATATTAATGTAATATGAATGTATGTAAAGTGATTTATATTCAAGTGAGTTTAATTTCTAATCAATTACGTTCGGTGAATACGTGAACAGTTCAAATTACGCCGCCGTAGCGCATTCTAAACGTTTTATTTAAATTAATATTCTGTCGTTTGTGAATCAGCCTTTGCCAATTACTTCCACATTGTCTTGTAGGATATGTTTTTATCTGTTAATTACAAAATGTTACCCGCAAACATTGGGGACACGATTCTTGTACTGATTATAAAATGTTAATTGTGACTTAAATATTGGATATTAGGATCCTATAGTTTCACGACAAGACAACAACATCAATATTGATTGAATTCTAATTCGTGTTTTAATTTCGAATATTATAGAAAATATTGATTGAGTTAGAGACTTAGCTCCTTTAACTGACTAACCTGTAGGAGAAGCCTGTAGATCAACAGGATCAGACGCATCAAGTACAGTCAAAGATTGATGTAGTATCACTTCTTCATTGTTACTATCTCCTACATTTTTTACGCTTCTCTTTTTTCTTGCACCACAAGTTGGCTGTAAGTGAATAAATCCGATCAGGTAAAGATTGTGTCGTTGAAACAATACTAATATACTTAGTGAGGCACTCTAACGTTGTCGCCAGGTACCTATATCATTTGGACATGCTCATACGGGTGAACATCATATTATTAGCTCAGTGGTTCTCAACTTTTTTTGCCAAACAGCTCACCTTGGAACACATGAAAAAATGGCGGCACACCTGGCTATATATAATGAAAAATATTTGAATTTTGCAAAATAAAAACATGGGAAGCAAACAGAATACAACCGTAGACAGACTAGTCATAAACGCATAGAATGAATCAAACTAAATAAAGAACTTATCAACTTATCAGTAGCTATGAACTTATCAGTAGATACCACTGAAATTGGGATCACTTGATTTTTCAAACTCATCCTAGCAAAAAGATTGATCAGTATGTCATTGCTTAAATAGACTGTAGACCTCGTTGGGTTACGTTAAAAAATACTATTTTCATCTATAGTGCCTGCCTAAGTAATGGGGGGGGGGGGGGGTCGCGCATTAGCGATCTTTCTAGAACACCTAAGATCACATTGAGGCTCACTGCAACATTTTATTCAATAATCATAAATCTTGCACTTATATAATTGATGTCCGTTGTTTTGGAGATAAAAAAAATGTGTACTCACTACTTCACAGTTTTCTTCGGGTCTACATACTTTGACATTACATTCAAATAAGACGACAGGTGACTGATGGAATTTGAAGGCTTTAAAGTAGAAGGATACAGTCGGAGGACTTATGGTATACTTTATACCTTCACGAGATTCAATATATCTTCCTTCTTTGGTTATACAACTGTAAGTGTAAACACATTTAACCGAATTGCTACAAATATTTGGCCAACTAGCTCACCGACATACTATATTAGATTATTACTGTTCAAGCACAAGAGAGAAAGGACACTTGGTCGTTTAATTGGAAACATGAAAGGCGTAAAATAAAGGATGATTACATCAAGTACATAGCAGAATATGTTCTATAGAAAATCTGATCATATTTCATTGAGTGTTTTATAAACTTTTATAAAGATGTTTTACCCATTGTCTATTATTGTTACGTTAATTTGTGGGGTAATATCCGGTCCACGTATTGCGTAACATTTCATCAGTATCAGTTTGGTATATTCTGAAATCAAATAGAAAACACTCATAAAAGTCCTAAATCAAGCACATGGTTAAACTTCTCTGCTGAATCGTTCCTTCCAATCCGTACTGAAAATATACTTCCTGTTCTACTTCCTGTTCTGCCTAAGCTGGTTGTAAAATCGGTCAGGTTATGAAGAATCGTGCTCACAGAACAACAAGAAATTACCACATAACTGAGAAATAAAATGGCATGTCATCACCAACCAATATGGTAACATTTAGCAGACAAACTAAATAATATCACAATATATTTACATAAAAAAATAAAAACAAATATCACAGTCTAGTATATAAAATCACAAACAATTTTAAATTGAAATTGAATGGAAAACGTTACATTTAGATTAGTTCTGGGGACATGATGTAAACAATTCGAAGTATGGTGTATGGTAACAAAATGACGTGTAACATATCGTACTTACTTTGGGTATCAGAAAGTGGGAAGAACAGTCTCAATGGTTTGTCCAAAAACAATGGAGGAGTAATCTTTGTTCCAAAAGCGTTTTGAATATCCATTTTTACAGGTTCATATGTCGTTGATACAATGTCATTTGCTTGCGGAGCTCTTTGTGAAAATAAAAAAGAATACTATAAAGTGCCTGCCATAGAGTTGAAAATTAACAATGAAAATAATTCAAACCATGCAAAACTAGAAAAGAATATGCCCGTGCGATTGTATCACGTTCTCGCGGCGCGCTCGTCACGACCTCTCCGCGCTTTTGGCGTTTCTAATGAGATCTATTGGCTTGGCATCGGCGATCATCGAAAAACCCGCGGCGCTATAATCACGCTCATGGGGCTCTTACCGCACGTCTTTTACGTGTATCGCGATTGCACGTTTCTTTCTACTACGTGATCACGGCGACTATATAAGCTGGTCCGATTTTTGGAAATTTCAAAATGATTATGGTATATGAACTTTGAATCGCCTGATTTTATATTAAGTCGCACATGAAAAGCATGGTCGCCATAGGAGCGTAATGCAAGCTTTGTAACCGCGCCATGGTGGTATTAAGAACTTCATAAACGCAGTGGCAACTCCTAAGATCACCATAGGCGCACTGGGAGCACCATGAGGACGTGGTGCAATCGTGCAACAGTGGTGAAATCATCGTAACATCGCCATAACAACGCCATAAGGACTCCGAACACTTGGTGGGGTCGTGGCAGACACGCGAGGGTCGTGGTGAAGACGCCATAAAGTCGCCGTTGCAAATGTTACAATTTTCGCATTTTCTTTGCCACATGTGTACTCTGTGTGTACTACCTTCATGGAGATGTTTCAAGAACCTTTGAAATTTATGTGGTAGCATAAAATGACAACCGAATTGATATTGGTCATTGAAATTGAAGGATATACTAACCTTTCGTCAACGGTTATAGTACTTAAGTCACTGTTTAGAGATGAAACGCCGGAGTTCAAATGAACACATGTTGCTTTTACCAATATGTCAGGTGCTGTCACAAATAGTGAACCCTGTATGATGATATCGACGTTGTATGTAACATCGCCCGCCTGAAATAAAATTTACAGTCTAAACCCACAAGAGAAATCAATAAACGGAGACTGTTGCCCTGAAAAACCCTAATAATATGCACTTATTGATTACAATTGAATACAGTACTGCTTACACCCCAAGAAAATAATTTTCTTAAAATATTAAATATTACTCAGGGATTGTAAATAGAAATAATGGGCAATTAACTGAAAAAAGGGACAAAAACAAGATCTATGTGTATAAAGGTAAAACATACACTGCCAAACAAAATATGCTAGAAAAATAACACCACCCCACCCCCACCCCCACCCCCACGGTTAAACGCACCCACACCCACAAACGCCCACAAACACACACACCCACCAACACACACACTTCACACGCTCAACAGACAAGCACATTTCTTATTTCTATCTTCTTGCCCAAAACCCATGAATGGTTTCAATTGCGCCTAAAGACTCACCGATGGCGTGTTCAGCATTGCTTCTAGTGAACAATCGCCTGTACTATTTGCACTTGTAGTAAGAGTTAAGTTGTATGTTTTTAGAGATCCAGACTCTGTTAGCCCGAATTGACATTCAGGATCTGTTTTATTATATCTAACGTAAACAATGCCACCGAACACTGGGTATGGAGTAATATAGATGTCCATTGTGTTCCCGGTACACACGGCTTCGGCTGAAAAATAGCGTTATAAAAATGTTAAAGAATTTGTTTATGGATCTAAGACATCCAAATCTAACTACATATATACGAATTACAATACCGAGCACTAATATCTAAATACTAAAGAATTGATTCAGCAGAAAAACTGTTTGATTTTATAAACAAATCTGTATTTTGTTTTGTTTTGAGTATTTGCGCTATAACTTCAAAAATTACCACAGTGCCGTCTGCTATAAGTGGTGTCCTGGTGACACCAAAGGGCTTGTGTCACCAAATTCGTGAGAGCCTGTTGTTATAACACGAGGTGAAATGCGCCACGGTTTCAAGAGAGAGATAGAGAGAGGCCTGGTAACGTCCACTTGGGTGGGATTTGGTGTATCTCAATTTTAATAATTCGCTTGCATGTCAGGGTTTTCAGCAATGAGAGAAAACCTGTAAACCTCCTCAAATATCATCATCTGATCGAAATCCCAATCACTCAACTCAATAAATGACAGACATTGGTAAATGTAAACAAAGATGCCTCATCATTATGGTAGATAATTTTAAACTGTGACTACCATAATGGCGATCATAATTCTGAAGCATCTCTATTTGAAATTGCATTCTGCTCTCAGGTCAATACTGAACCGATTAAGGTCATATTAACTCACTTTACGAACTTCATATATGTATAGTCATGCAGTTAGTTATATTGCAAGGAATTTGGGAACTTGCGAACAACCCCACGTGAAAACTCACAGAGATTCAGATATCTGCACATGACGAGTAGGTCCATAAACGTTTAAGGGCCTTTTAACCAGAATTATTCAATTTTATTTTACAGAAATTCGCTTCCTTAAATAACTATATTAAACGTGGACTGTCAATCAGCTTACCTCTCCTGCTCTCACAAAAATCACCATAAAATGTATCAGTGCATAAACATGTGTCTGTGTTAGTCGATGTTTGTGTTATACATCGGCCACCATTTAAACATGTAAATTCACATTCCGCCATATTTACCCTTTCAGAATCTATAAAATAATCAATGAAAACGGTGACTTAATCCAAACCCTTTTAATCGTTTCAAAATAAAAAAAATACAATTGGTTTACAAACTCTGTAACTAGCATTAAATTACAACATAATGTGTTAAAAGCGCAATATTATTAAAAGTTAAGGTATAACGATTACTTTTTTTATTTCTTCTCATTCCGCCATCTAGTCTTAGAATTTACCCATTGGTGCTGGGTAACTCATTTTTATACTTGAATACCGTGCCAAAATGGTATCTAACCCAGATTGTATTTTAATTGTTTAAACTACTATTTATATTGTTTTAAATTTATATAAGGAATATGTCCGTTGGCCTTCTGGTGCAATTCTTGTTTTTAAAACTCTGAAAGTATTTGCACCGTGTAGATAATGGAATGGCCTATTTAAACCAAATGAACTAACAGACAATTCGTCATAAACACACACTCAGATATGTAAAACGTCTTTAACTTACACTCTGTGATAGGAAATTGACATTGTGTACCAAATGCTTGAGATCCACAGACACATGTCCCTGTATTTGAACAGGAATAGGGATTTATACATTCCTGGTCACTCCTTTTGCAGTCGAAGTACACACTTCTTACACCTGTAAAATAAGTCGTATTATATTTTCATTTTAATTTAAGGAAAATAAGTTACATGTAGTTTGGAAATAATACCCATGTGTCGAGGTTTGACTCGGTACCATGCATGGGAACAGTTACATAGTTAGTTGGCTCCTGTTTCACACGGAGCCATTTTGTTTTCATTGACTTTGTGACACACTCCTCTAAAGAGCTTTGCAACAACTCCGCTATTAACAATTTCTATAATTCTTTCTTTTTCTATTTTTTTCTCTATTATTTATCATTACTATACTTAATCAGACTTATAGAGTAGTGTATTGTACATTACGTATGTATACCATTTTACTTGCAAATATTTCAAAGATATAAGTTACTGGGCAAACCGTGTACCGAGTCAAACTACGACACAAGTTTAAGTGACTAAATGACCATGTTGCGATAGAATACCTTTTTCTATGGCCTTTAATTCATTGATAATCGATAGGTTATAATTTTTCATATGGTTAGATTAAAATTACAAGAAGTGACATCCTGTTTTAAGTACGAATGCGAGATTTCAGACAATCGTGTTTCAACGTACTGTTATTTACACCATTACGAACGTGATTGCAGTGAATACATTGTGTAAGGAGAAGACATTGGAAACTATGTTGGCATTCTCATATATTTCATTTTAGCAATCCCCAACAGCTTAATGTACCTCAGATTTCAAATGTAACAAAGGTGTTCCTTAATCTCAACCAACTCTTGTAACAGTATCTTGTCACCGGGATGTGGTGTGCATACAATACAAAAAGCAGCAAAAGTGCATTAATAAAAAACAAAATAATAAAATATAAAATCGTCTACTTACATACACATAGTGTTAATAGAATACTTAAATTAATTGGCCTCAACATCTGAAACATGAAACCGTGTAAATATAATATATTAGCCATAATCTATAAAACATAACGTATTCTAGCCTATTCATGAGATTTTTTTTTTAAAAACATGACGTAGTTTAAAAAAAACATTCAAGGATGGCATTGTTTTCAAGCTATTTAAAACAGCTGTTAGTCTATTGGCTGATATGTTGGGGTGGGGGCATTTATATATCCCTCAATTAGGCTCTTGTAACCGTGGGAGGTAAAATAAATAGCATAGTAGATTACTCTGGATCATGGGAAAGAAGGATGGAATTCAAGATTGCGCCCAAGATGGCCGCCGACCATCAGGCCCCTGCTATTCGTGTTCCGGTGGCATGTCTGACCTATGTTTTAGGGGTTAAGCAATCCATCAACGAATGGCGTCATCGTGAAATCCAAGATTGTTGGCAAGGTTTTAATAATTCAGCGCGACTAGGATAAACGTTTCTATGAAGCTGTAGCGCAAAAATAACTACCTATTTTAATCACTAAAATATATCGATAATGGCCCCGTCAGACCGGTGTGGCGCCCTTACTGCGCTGCTGCGACCGTACGGCGACCAGAAAATGCACAAGCTCGCCGGCAAACGTGAACACAACACGCGAAAATGTCCCAAAAAATTAAAAAGTTGAAAACAATCGTGTTCTCATAGCTTTCCAGTTCAGATCGCAGAACCTTGGCGTTTGTTTTGAACATACTCAAAACAAACGCCGTGACTTGGCGATCATTGGCGACCACAGCACGATAGCTGACGTTTCCACCACGCTTATGGCGATCTTAACGCGCTCTAAAACCATTTTCCGTCGCCGTATCAGCGAGGTAAGGACGCCACTCTGGTCTGACGGGGGTATAAGAGTCTGTATAGTCAGAATCCTAAACGGGAGATAATTCCATAGTTTAATAAAGAAAATTCAATATTTCCATGATATTTTTTTCCGTATGTCACGATCAACAATCCAATGAAATTAGGTTCACCGCATAGAATTTAAACATGGGTACATCCCCACAATTTGTGATCGAAATTGTGCATTTGCATGGAGTCCCTGGATGAAAAAATGTCACCGGATCTCTTGCATCAACAATTTTCCGTCAAACACACAGAAAATGCGATTTGTATGTCAGTACCCACCCCACCTGGTTGCCTTGTCATAGCTGTGAAACTTGTGTGCCTCCCTTGTTAACTCTGTCATTACATGTGACATGTTTATTTATTGTACTGTATTTTAAAAAAAAAATAATAATTTGGGAGGGGGTGGGGGTTGCAGCACAGCCACCCCAACCTCTTTAATCTGGCGCTGTTTCCAGTAACAATCAACAGCGATGGCACTTCACTAAATCGTGAACACATTATTAAAGTCAATTAATATTGTAGAAACAGAATATTTAATTTAAGGAACTTACCTTACTTAATTTACTTAATTCAAAATTGTCAAATGTACGACTTAGGTTTTTATAATGTTCATAGTGGGAATATATCTCAAACTTGAAATATATATTTTGTTGAACAATGTCTTATTTATATAAAGCAGGCAATAGCCTAAGGCAATAAAGAAATCACATAATTGTACAATGGATACATTTCAGAAGGGTTGATATATTATATTGTAATACACTGCTTAAGTGCGATAATGGTGTGGACTTTTACGATATTAATATAAGCTAGTATGCAGTTTCTGAAATCATAAAATTCATTCTGATATCATACATGCATCTGAGACGGTTAATCTTAAATAATCTGAATTATCCGCGTATTACCACTTCAGTCATTATAATAATGCATAACAACACATCTTGGAACAAAAACGCTGGGGTCAGCACGGGTGGGATTTTCCGACTATTTCTGGAATACCCTCTCTCTCATCTGTTACCACCGTCCTCCAAATACAAAGGTCATTTTGAAACATCTCAACTGTGTGACAATTTGACCCCTTGTTTCATGAATCTGCGCTGCCCCCCTTACCAGGTCTCACTACCTGCAGAGGATCTTTTCAATGATCCTTTTTAGTAATTTTGATTAAGCTATGGACAAAAGTATACCAGTAGAATAACAAAGCTCGAAAATAAATAAGATAATTGATTTAATATCTTATAATAAAAATAATTAATATTCCCCCCCCCCCCAAACACACACACGGTTCTTGTTATTATATATACATTACCACCTTTCTTCTGATTAAACAATGAAATATAATAATACAAATTATATACACAAATATAAAGGTTTTAATTGTATTGCACTTCCATATTTTATATAATTAAAATTTCTGACGGCCAAAATATATAAATACATACGGTTACCTGACCAACCCTATTGTTTCAAGTCATAATCGCCGACCCTAAACCTTTTTCTCATTCCCAAGGCCCTGTATCTCGACCTTGATGTGGTTTTCTGTGGACAAATTCCAACACTGACATTTCGGTATTATTTCCAGAACCTTACTCAGTATAACTAGAAATGCTAGGAAGTAGAAACTACAAACCTCATGAAAAACAATTTGGGGCAAAGTAACCGTAAACACCTGTATTTATTTTCTGAGTTATTGTCTGTTCTGAAATATAAAATATTGTTGTCTTAGGTGTGTAGGTATAACCTAATTACAACACATAAATCAACTTCTAATTGATTGATGGGTTGATTGATCGTTGACTCAGCAGTGAACGCCTAGTCAGTATCCAAAGACCTATCCTTTGACGCTAGCACAAAACTATGGAAGCTTATTGCGACATGACGAGAATGCGAGTATCTCGCCCCGAGGAGACGAGATTATTTTTACCTCGCTTTCTCGTCGTTGGCTTTGCAAATCAGCGCGTTTTCGCCCTCGAAATTATAAACAATGGCCGCAATAGTCTTCCATTAAAAACTAAAATTCGCATTCCCACTAAAAGAACCGGAAAAAAAGTATTCATGCTCGGTGTAATAAATCGGTTTAAGGACATAATCGTGACAATGTGTTATTTTAGTCTACATTTATCTGACAAGTTATAATTAAGAACGGTGAACTATTTATAACAGGGACTGATATTACTAGCTGGGCTTTTACTGCTGGGTCAAGAATAATAACCAGTTTCGAAATAACCCAATCGAGCGTGTCAGACGAAAAGAAACTCGAGACTATTTTAATCGCTTAGACAAGTAAAAAAAATAGGTTGTCAGGCCACGAAAAATACGCCCACAGCAGCTAAGTCGTCCGGTAAGTCAACAAGTGCTGTCGCATATTTTTTTCTTTTGTCAGTAATGAAAACATTTACAACACATGAAAATGTGATTACCAGTAATAACCCATGCAGTAATTATCAGAAAACATTAGAATTTGTTTCGATTGTTTGTCTCATGACCTTAAACAATTTATATTAACTTTAGCCTCTAGAGCGTCCACAAGATTTTTCAAAGTGATCAAGGGCCATAACTCTGGCAGTAATTATCAAATATCGTTGAAAATCACTAGGCTTCTTCGTCTCATGACCTTAAACAAGATGTATAAATTTGAAGTCAATCGAATATTAACTTTAGCGTCTAGAGCATCCACAAGCTATTGTGGACACCGGGGCGAAGACAATATACGAGCGCATTTCAATGTGGGCGTATAAGAATGAATCTACATGTATGTGGATAAGGAGAACGGGTCCTAATTCTGCAGTTTGATGTGTAACTTTGGTGTCCATTCTTTCTCGGGGTACGCCTGTGCGCATACTATAAAAAGACCCCAAAACTTCTTAACACTTCTGTAGTCTATCTTTCTATGTAAGAACACAGGACATCCCTTAAAATACGAAAATATTCGAGAATTATTCATAGCTCACAAGTCCTTGTTATAATATAGCAAATTTTTAAAATCGAATTTTCAATAAGGTTTGCAGGTTTTTATATCTTATATAATTTAATTATTCTTCCAGATGTATCTCATAATCGATTTATTGTTCGGATACCTTATAATGGTTTTCCATGTTAGCCATACTTCATTCTGGGAGACAAATTATTTCTTTGATATAAATGCAAATACCTATGCATATTGTGATATGATAAATAGTCATGGACACTTGACATGCTTTGAGAGAATATTCACAGATGAAGAACTTATCGCCCCAACAGAACCACTGAGGTGCACATGCGACACGCAATAGCGCCATGCACGTGGGAGGGGTTCATGGTCAAATTTGACACTTCAAGGAAGGGTTGATGAAAGCTGCCGCTTGCTGGTTTATCCTATCCATGTTTGCTTTCCTATCGGTTCTTGCATAAGATTTGCTGTTTAGCGTATTACGTTTAATTTGCAATAAGACGTCTCTAACACGATGAACGTCTACGTGCTATTGGCATGCTTCAAATGGTTTCTACACAGGGAGCAATAGCCAACATGCTGAATGTGTTACAGTCTGTGACCAGCACACTATGGAACCGGAACCAACAAACATACAATGTTGATAATAGACCTAATAGACCTCGTTCAGGTCGTCCTAGAGCCACTACACAAGCCCAGGATCGATACATTCGTACACAGGTCCTGCGAAATCGAGGACAAACGGCCAATCAGAATTGGCCGTGCCACTGCAAGGGGGGTGGGTCAAATTGCCCAAATCGTGATTGGGCGGTTGATTAGGAGCATGCCACGACGAATTGCTGAATGTCTGAGGATTGGTGGAGCACTTACTCATTATTAAGACAAAAATCAAAAACTTCCATTTTCACTTTTGCCAGTGTATCTCTTTTCGATTAAAATTGGGCCGTCAGATAAGCCGCCCATATGAACTGTTCATGTGTAGGCAATTGGCCTGTTATTTATATACACTGGTTACCTCTAATAAAAAAAAGCAGTGCATTTCCGCAGTTTTGTATTGTTTCTGAATATCCCCTACGTTTTTTGAAGAGTATATAAGCGACATTCAGTTAGATATCTGAACATACGCTAATTTAGCCCTGTAGTAAAGTAAGCACCAACAGAGTACTTTAGAATTGATATTTAAAAAAAAATATAATTGTCACAGAATACAGGAACGCAGGTTTGTAAATTTTTTACAAAAGAATAATACCATGTATTTAATTTAGCATCGATATTGCTTCTATGTATATTATTAATTCTTTTCGTTTAAAACAAATAAGTCAGAATTTTTCCCGGTTACTTAACTTCATAGTCTTTGTAGAATATTTTTCTGGATGATAGAGACTAATTCAGATTCAGAACAATTTCACCGGAAGTACGTATTTATATAGTGGCGGAAAGGGAAAATATGCCGGCGCGTTATAAAAGCGTTCCAGTAATTCAGCAATCTAATGAATCTGTTTTAATTCTTTCTGAAATCACGCTTAATTATTAATAATTGTTCGGCGCTACGCCGTTGTTGAAATACTTAGAATGTGGAAGAGTGGTTATATTTACTTTGATGAATATTTTAATATGGTCACAATGCTAATTTAATCATAGAATAAATAAATTAGAACTGAACCCTTGTGTGTGTCATCTTTGTTAGAATAATTTGACCCCCTACAACATTTGGGGCCCGATATATGGTAATGTTTTATGGTTATGAAACAGCAGTACTGGTGTGAAATGAAATATCTAGGCTAGCAGAAACATCTCAACAGTGAGCTCACACGCGTGCGCGTTTGCGAGATCTCCGTCAAGTTCAACAGATAGTACGTGGCAGTGCAGTGACGTTAACTTTATTTCTGTTATATGTTGTGTTTCATATTGTGGATAATTTGGATTATTATTAAGGATATCTATCTAAAGGTTGGTTAAATCTGTACTTATTTATCTTCAATGTAATCTGATTTCTCAGATTCAGTATTAGGCTTAATATTTATTGTATTTAGATTAAATTCATATTTATTTTTACTTAATTATTCAATAAATTGTTTGTATAGTATTATTTAAGACATTATTTCCATATTCTGTAAGTTTCTTATCCTATTTTTTGGGCATTTTGTTAAAACTAAGTTAATTCAAGATCATTTGAAAATTTGGTGTCTGTTTACATTAGCAATTTCCTGTTGACATATATCTATTTATAGCTACTTCCTGTTCACCTTCATTAGCTACTTCCTGTTCAGTGAGTGTTCACCTACATTAGCTACTTCCTGTTCACCTACATTTGTCAACTTACTGTTTAGCCATTGCATTCACTTCCTGTAAGTTTTCATACATTTTTATTTTAAATAAAAAGATTCTACATTTACATTAGGAAATAAACATTAGTACAAATTACAAACATTCCATAAATTTATACTGTACTAATTTATTTATTTTTATTTCACATTTATTCGTACATTAGTGTACACTTCTTTACAATGTTTACAATATATATAAATACATTTAGTCGATGCATAAATAAGTAATTATTTCATTACGATTTTTTTTATGTGAGTAAATTTCGTGCAACTCACGCATATTTATCGTATCTACAATCTGACCAGCTCTTTTGATATCAGACTGATTTACATTGGTATTATCCCATTTATTTATTATGTTTAA